TAAAATAAGCTAAAACCAACAAAGCGTAAGGAAAATGGGGCACCGGCCACAACGGAGCTGATAATGTCCCAATTAATGTCCGTATGCAGGAACTTGGGGTCCTCCAGTGAGCCCATGTGCACACCACACAAATTAAGAGCGGATGCTTATCCCCGACTTGCGATAATTAATTCCCCCATTTTTCGGAAGTTGTATTCAAAAATCCAAAAAGTTTCTTTTAAAATGTAAGCAATAATACTTGTATGCTGGATGCATTGCCACCTGGTATATATGTATACATATTCTCTTCCCAACTCACATGTCGTTAACAATATCTTTGTGTATTTATTACAAGCAAAACATATAATGATGGTAACTAACATTACTTTTTTTTTCAGTTTAAAAATGAAAAAAAATCTGTTTGAAACCATTATAATCGCAATAAGTAATCAATGTTCATGGTTTAATAATACTTTCAGATAAAAAGTAATTCACAAATCCGTAACATCGACATTTTGTAAATTTGTTAATTTTTTTAACTTTTTAGTTAGGTACAAAAAAATTAACATTTCTTAGAATAGATAAAACAACATTTTTGTTCAGTCAATCGTCTGATCCTTAGGTCATAAGGAATCATCTTGTTTTAGTATTTAAAGCTAAAAATTAATTAATTATTGTTATCTTATCCCAATTATCTGAAACAATCAATCAACGTATATCGTTGGTAAGCAGGATCGACTTATCCGGGAGATGGAAGGTGTCACCGGCAGATTGCATTACCTGACCTGGCAATTAAGCTGGCTGTTATAACAGCGTTTATGAAATAAAAAAAAAAAAAAAAAAGAGGCCGCGTAATAACGATAATAAGCAGTCGAAAATTGAATATCTTTGGCCGCGTGCATCTGCATCTGCACAGGCCAGGGCCACCCATGATACTCGGGATATGGGGCACGAGGACCCAGGACACATGGGACAATCTCCTGGCACTGGCATCCTTATTGGCGACGCTTGGCCTCATTAACGCCGCGAATTAACGGGCATTTAGGCAGCGAACAAAATGCACAAAATGCACAAAATGCTCGAAAGGCAAACGAACACCAACGAAGTAGTGACCACCAGTGGCCAAAACAGGGGGAGGTGTTCGGTTGGCTTTAGTCCGGGGAAAGGATAAAAAAAGGGGTCCTTGCATGTCTGGCGGCCATAAAAATTCATATTTAAAATGCATAACAATGAGTGCCGCACGCGAAGCTTTAACGGCGAACGTTAGGATCGCATCGGTTCGGTTCGGTTTGGGTCAGGGGATCAAGGATTAACAATCGAGGATCGAGGATCGCGGATCGAGGATCGCGGTTCGGGACTGGCACCCACATATAGCAAACAGGGTTGCACCAACAAAAGCTGAGGAACAAACAACGACGACGACGACGGCGGTGGCGAAATTAAGCTGGAATTTTGAGTGGCACGAGCCGTCGATTCTCGCCATCCTCGCGATCCTTGCGATCCTCGATGCCGCTGCACTGCTTATCCTTAATTTCGCCAGCATGGCCCGGCTGTCGTCCTGTGCCCCCTCGTCCTGCGTTTTGGGACAGGTGCAAGCTCTTTTTTTGTTTTTGGTTTTTATTTTTCGGCTGAAAGAGTGTGTGTGTGTGTGTGTGTGTGTGTGTTTTTCGGGCCGAGTGTCCCGAGAGTGTCCTTACCCCTTGATCCTTAAGCACACACAAAGACGCACGCTGCATGCATTAATTCGCTTCTTTATTTTTCGGTAATTGCCGAAAATGTTCCGAGTGAACGAGCGAATCCTCGTGGGTCCGTGCCCACACACACACACACACACCCTATCCCATACTCCCATGTGCTGTGCTGTCCTGTCGCGCCTGCGTGTCCTGATCCTGCGTCAGCCGGATTAGGCGACCCCCTCCCTCGAACCCCTCCCCCATTTCGATCCCTCGCGCTTGATTGCGATTTTACGTTCCTCTCATTTTTCAACAATTTCAACTGTTTCAACAACCGTGCGATCATTGACTTTTGTCAGGCAACAAATATAAGGTGTATATAATATGTATGTATGTATAGTCTGGGTCCTGACTTGACTTCTTTGTTTCTAAAGATCCCAAGTTACGAAAGTTCACGATGTTGACCAAAAAAAAAAAAATCCCGAAAATTATTTGTCTTAAGCCTGACAGATTTTGAAAACCTATTATTTAACCTGAAGTTAATTTAAACAATACATTGACAGGTACTGGTCAAGAACGAAAAGCCTTAATAAAAATAATCATTGTCCGATTATTATAATAATAATAAAAGTAATTGATAGTAAACCTAATAAGGTATAAAATACAAACAGTATAATCTAAACTTATGTTTGAAAATGGTGAATACACAATACAGGTAAAGATTGCATAATACAAGGTTTAATTTCATAAGAAAAATATTCATTGTGCGATTGTTATGATGATAATATAAAATACTTAGTAGTAAACAACATTAAAAATAGATGATACAACAAACTAATAGGTCATTATTTTCTCGAAAAATGTACAAAAATCCATTTGAAAATCTAATCTATTTTTAATAGTAATACTAATTTAGGGATTAGATTATGCCTTACAAATAAAATAAGGGAACTCAGGTTAGTATAAACATGAAACATACACCACACAAATTTGCTTCGTTTTGAAAGAGTATTTGCGATTTATTGGGATTTCTGTCATGGGTTTTTGTTAATTATATATTTATAAAAAATATTAGATTTTCGAATGGTTTTAGAATTCTACATTTTCTTTTGTGATCAAAGTTGTATTGCCTGGGTTATTTAGTTACCTATGCCAGATTTCTGTATAACATTCTTATTAATTTTTACAAATAATATACAATTTTGAAATCTTCCCTAAAAATAAAATGTAATCAAATCCAAGGACAATTCTTTATTGAGCTCTGAGCAAATTTTCCCGGGAGCAGCTGGACATCAGTCTGCCGTTAAAACTAGAAAAAAGCTGAACTTGATTGACCATTTCAGGACGCCATTCGAGATCCTCGACAGATGCCGCGCATCCTGGCCAGTTTCTTGGTCCAGTTGCCGCCTTTTTCTCTGGCTAATTTTGAATAACAAAAGAGTGGGCCAGCTGGGCCTCGGGACTTAGACTTGGGATGCTGGACGCCGCCCGCTTCTCACGCTGCCCACTGGTCACTGTTTGCTACCAGTTGCTGACCAATTGTTGAATCCTGAATCCCACCCGATGGCCGGACAGCTGTGGCCCAAGAAACGAGGAGCCGACACCGCAAAACAAAGCCCAAATCCGGCTGCCGAAAGCTGTGAAACTAGAAAAGCTTTTTGTTATTCAACTCCTTTGTTGTTCTCCGAAAAGGACAGACACAATGGGCCTAGGTCCAGGGTCCTAGAACCTAGTAGTCCCAGGACTCAAGTCCCAGACACTTTCGACATTTGGGCGCTGTCTCAACTCAGCGGGAACAATGACAATGCCGGAAAAGAGTTTCTCCAAGGCACTTCAAACGGGTTGTCATAAATTTAGCTACATATTTAACTTTTATTTGAGCCTAAGACGATTTGAATTGAATTTTATTTAAATTTTTAAAATTTCCCATTTGCAGAAAGGTGACATTAACTACTTTAGTACTTACAAGTTATTACTATACAAAATAAAAGTGGTTTATAATCTTACACTTATTTTACTAAAAAAGTTTATTTTTTAAATATAAATTAAAATTTTTTTGTTACTCTGGATTAATTAGTTTGTAATTGCACGTGATTTGTTTGTTTAGTTTCCAACAACTGAAAAATGTTTATCTTTTGCACAACAAAAAATTATTGTTAGTTTTGTTACTGCAAAAATGCAAACACATCTCAAAAATAATAATATTTTTGGGATTTTTTTATGCAACGATCATTTATTAAATCATTATTAAAAATATAAAAAACTAACATCATAATACTGGTTGGATATGTTGTTTCCCTTTTCAAAAATATTTACATGTTTTTTGTGTTGATAATCGTTTTTAACAGTATGAACAGTATTTTAGAATTTTTTAATGGTAGAAAAAATCATACTTTGCTAAATACATGATCAAAGCGATTTCCATGGACAAAATCCAAATACCCAAAATCCCCTAATATTGTGACAATATATTCTCGGGTCAAGTCGTTATCCAATAATAATATAATAGAACATAGCATTTGTTAGAGCTATAGAATTGCATACTTTTCGGCAGTTAAGTTTTTTTTAATTTCAAAAAGAAATACGTTGCGTGCAATTGGGCGGCAGATATATGTAAATACACTGTTATCGCTTAACATTTGTGTACAGAGACGCTACAGAATTATCTTTACTTACCAAATTTTATAACCTTAACATAGTTATTTAACTTGTTCTAATAAAAACAAATCATGTTTAACTTTCTTAACATTGAAATCTATATTTAAAAGGTATATACATATTAATAGTTTATATTGTATTGCATATAAATTATTTTGTATACATCGATTACATCGTTTACTTCCACTGTAAGGATTGCAAAAAAAACAGACGATTTTTAGACCGCGATTAAACTAAAGAACATTTTTTAAATGTTGTTAGGTTAGTATAGGAGTTAATAGCTTAATATAAATAAAAAAGGCTTAGTATTCTAGCCAAGGATATTTGCTAATTGAAAATCAATTCGTTACTTTTCAAAAAAGTAATGCTAATGAAAAAACACATCATTACTTTTTAAAAAAATAATTAATTACTTTTTGGAAACTGTGAAAAACATAAATTATTTTTGTTAACACTAACAATTCTTATTAATACTTTTCAATAAAAGTTTTAATGATTACAAAAACTTGCCTAATTAAATAAACAAATATTTAATAAGCTTAGATTCATATTTTATTTTTAAATTATAAAATAATAGAACATAGAGCAAATTTTTTTTTTCTTGTTTTCTTAAAATTTTGTTATTCGTTTCTGCAATTATACTCACTTTACGTCAAAAATGTACATTTCATACAAATAAAACAAAACGGATTGTTGTCATTCGATTGTGATAAATTTATTTACGATCCTACACTTAAATATTAATGTATATAATTCCTATATACCGCACACTTAATTTCAACTGGACTTACGACTAAGCATGAACTGTATATGGTATTATTTTTGCTATTAAGGAAAGAAAGGAAATGTTGGCTTCTGATTCGTTGAAAAATGTACACAATGGTCATTGTAATTGCTTGTCCAAGTTCCCTACTAATATAACAAAATGTTTGTTTTCGTTCGATGGTCTTTGTATACAAATTTTAAGGCTGGAGAAGCGGGACAGACAGGATTAGTTGGATACAAGAACGCGAAATGCACTCCATACATTGCGTTTGCCAGGCTATAAAATTAAAATTAAAATTTGTTTTGCTTTTGTTTTGATAACATTGTTGTATAAATTATTTTGTATGTATGCGAGCCCTACTATTCTAAAAACAATTCTAATTTTTAAGGGGGGAAACCGATCGCAGACCCGTCCTGGCACTCAAGCGTTTTTTTTAATATTCTCCAGGGGGTCTGCGGTCGGTACTTAAAACGAGTTTAAAATGTATTCCTATCAAAGGGCTGTGGTCGTTGTGGCACAATGCCCGCAGAGCTGGGCCAACAATCGCTACTGCCCGCAACAGTGCGCACAACTTACAACTAGTAGAGGTGGTGACTCCAAAAAAAAATATTTATAAAATAATTACAAAACAATTAATCAAATGATTTGATTTTGTATGTGTTCGTGGCATTGTGCTCTCTTCTTAATGGAGCGTCCATCTGTCTGAGATTTACTTGACAAAAGCCTCGGGCGGTATTTTGTTTTCCTTGAAAAGTTGCTCGAACACAAAGGCGGCATGGTTATAGTCCCAATTCGTTTCCTCCAGGCATCTGTTTTTGGTGAGAGTTTTATGTTAGTTTATCTGGTTTATCTGTGGGCTCTAATATGTTACTTACTTTCGGCTCCACAGCACATTCATTTGGCTCTGCGCACTCATGGCCTGAATCATCTGCATTTTGGTGTTCTCATCTTGCATGCCCGCCGGTCCGCCAGTTGCCACTGGAACGGCGGCACTGCCGCTGCTCACCGGTGAGGTGGATGTCAGCGATGGTCCTGGCAGAATGGCCACCGCCACAGGTGCTGCTCCAATGCCGCCCGGATTGAGACGACCCTGCAGGCCCTGCACACCCTGAACACCCTGTACACCCGGTCCCGGCTGTGTGCTGGTGGCCGTGGCACTTATCAAAGTCGAGGCCATGGCTCCCGGAGCTGGCTGATGCTGCGATCGCTTGAACTCACGCACCTGCTCCTGCGAGGCGTTCGTGATGAAGATGGTCTCGTTGCGGATGCAATAGCCGGTGTTCTGCGGCACCACCACGAAGGTGCGGACAAAGTGGCGCAGTTCATACGACTGCATGGAGGCGGGAGTGCTCACCTCGCCGCTCAGCTCCTTGAACAATCCCGTCACCGTAAACACCATCATTGAAGTCTGAAGTTGGAAAGCAAAAACATGATCAAATGCAATGCAAGAATTTTACGTTTTTCTTTTTTTTAAAGCCAACTAAACACTTTTCAATTAATGATAAACTTGGCCTCATTTACACACTAATAATTGTAAATTTATTTGTTTTAAATTAATGTTAAATTCAGCTTTAAATGTAAGGATATATTCAATATGCCAATTTACATGGACTTCAATTCATTATTGTTTTAAATTAATGTTTAATTTGGGCTTTCAATACTAATGGTTATAATCTTGGTAAGCAGGATACGTTCCATATGCTAATTAACATAAATTTAAATTCAGTATTTATTTTAGATAAATAAATTTAACACACGAATATGATTTTGATATCCAGAAAATGTCCCATATGCTATTTTGTATTTTGATTTCAATTGATCATTTCGGTTTCTTTTTGGGGGGGTTGGACAGACAAATCGTTTTCATAATATATAATATAATATATATTTATGATCATTTTACTTACATTAAAAATGGTCAGGTCGACGGTGAAGGTGCGACGCTCGTGCTGCGTCCGTGGCCATTCGTCCAAGGTGGAGACGCAAGCCAGGCGTCCGTACTTCAAGTGCCGGGTGCGTTGGTCATCGCTGTTCACCAATCGTCTCAGGTTGCGATTGAACTTCCAGAAGCTATTCAACCTACTGACCGCAAAACGGGTATACGATTAAGCTGGGTGATCTATGGTGATCTCGAGAGTGGTAGACTTACCTGCCCGCCTGACTGGCCGACGGCATCGTAATGGACAGCATTGAGTTTTCATGGTAGGCATCGAGCAGGGATTGCCGATTGTCCGAGTCAAATATGCGGAAGTACTGGTCCAGGAACTGGCGCACCACCTCGGCGCCAGCGTTGTCGCACAGGAAGGAGGCCTTCGTGTCGAGAATCCGTCCAGACTCGTTCAGATCAAAGGTAACCTGGGGCGCCAGGGTCTCTCCATCCTAAATTGGTCAATTAAATTGTGGTTTGTGAGGAGTATGTCTTTAATGCGAGTTACTAACAGTGATGGGAATTGAAAAAATCGAATCTACAAATATAATCATTCCATATTCCATATCCTACTTGATCTCCACACATGTAGTTCCCCTTTTGAAGTTACAATTTTTGTCATGACTTTACTACAAATTGTGTTATTTTAATATTTAAAGTAACTATAAATAAAATTTGATAAGCCTGTTAAATAGGAAAATAGGATGAGTCTTCAACAAACTTTTATTTTTATGTTTAAGAGAGCGATTAGAAATGAATTCTTTAATGGGTAGATTGTCTGATTTTATATCTGAGTTTTCAGTTGGACTCCTTAGAATTTGTAATTTGTAAGTGAATTTTATTTGTATCTTAGAAAATACTATGTTATCCCATTATATTCATTAGTTTCGAGGAGAATATTAAATTAACCCCAATTAAGATTTTTAGAACTGGTCTACTAAAAATAAAACATATGGTGTTGGATGAGAGATCTCGTATTACCGGAATCAGTTAGGGAATTCCCATCACGTTGCCAACTAAGGGGGAAATTCGAATAGATTTTGTGGGGACTGTGCACTTACCAACTTCAACAGTTTGGGAAACTTGCGACGTACTTCACTGTAAATAGTTCGAAGTGGATATTCGGCCGTATTTTTGTTGGCATTAGCAGGGAGACGATGGTAGATATATGCGGGTTAAATAGCGAGAAATAATAATTAAATGGGTTTTTTTTTCGCGGCTTGTATGCGCTGCAGGAGTTGCAGTCAAGCCAAAACCAGATGGTGACTTCCCTGCATGAAGATATGTACATATATAGTTTTGTGATCTATATACATATATGAGGCTTTATCATTACTCGACAGGCTCACAAAAGTTCGCGGAGCTTTGATCAGCTGAAGAGGCAAAGGCACTAGGTTTATGGCCATTGTTGTGCCATTATTTGATTGATGCTACTTTTTGAGTTGCAGCGGAAAAGTACAATTGAGCAGTGCATCGTGCCTCTGGGCATCTTTTGTATATATCTTTATGTATATATTTAATTTTTTTCTTCTTTATTTTTTTTTGTTGTTTTTTTTTTTTTTTAGCTCGATATTTTTTTTTTTCGAACAGTGTGGTTCTGAGCAAAATATGGCTTTAGTGGCCGCGCGCAAAAGCTTTAGTCCAATTGCGTTCGACATGTCCGTTCTTGTCCCGTCTCGTTGACACACGTAGCATCCGCAGGCGGATCATACACCCAAAAGCCGTACAAAACGAGTGTAAACGACTGGCACAACACAACGCAGCGGCCGCTGGCGCCAGCAGTAAGTTGATTGTCCGAGTGTTTGTGTGTTTTGTGTTTTTTGTCCCTAGTCCGTTTGGTCTTCGTATCGGTGCTGCTGGTCGCTGCGCACCCAAAACGGGAGGGGGTCCATGGGCCCCACTCCTCCTGCTCTTCCTCCTCCGCCTCCTCTTCTTGGCAACCGCCGCATAATCAACAAGCGGCGACACAACAACGCAACACAACAGCGCGCACAGGGCACGCAGCTAGAAAGGACTTGGCGCAAGCGCAAGTGCGCATGCGCATACGCGTGCGTGCGCTGGCGTGGAGTGGTTACATGCGTGTGCCCGTGTGTGTTGTAGCGGAGTGCGCGTTGGGTGGGTTGGTGGATCTATTTTGTGTTATACAATTTTTCGTTTTTTGTGATTTTACTATTGGTGTTTTGCCAACATTGTTAAAGTTGCTGCTGTGCTTTTGGGACTGTTGCATGTCCGCCTGCTCAAATTGGAAGTGCAAACGTTGCGGGTATATGTTTGTTTTGTACATTCAGTTGCGTCATTAGTTCAGCTTTGCTTGGCGGCAAATTGCTTGGGTTCCACTGTTTTTTTTTTTTATTTTTTTTTTTTTTATTTTTCTTATTTTTTTTTTTTTTTTGTATTGTTTTGGATTCTTTTTTTTTTTGTACTGCCCTGCCCGAAATGCATTTCTCTGCTTGCGACGTGCCCTTGCTTTAAGGCAGCTATTTCGAAACAGTTTCCTCTCAAATGCTTTTGCCTTCTCAGCCGCATTTTCTAACCGGGCAAAAGGCCTTTCAAACGTAATTACAGCAAGGTAAAGAGCTCCATCTGGTTTTGGGCCACAATTCTGCAGCGCATACGCTTGAAAAAAAAAAGAATGGAGACAACAGAACAATGGAAAAATTGCTAATCCTAATTCCTCTGTGACTCCCGACGCGGCAAATCCCACGTCGACTATGTGGCAGCATCCTCTAGAATGATTAAAAGAGATCCAATCACACCATAGTATACCTGATAAAGTGCTGGGAATCCTTGTAGCGAGAACGGCACGGATTGTTCTTCAAAACCAGCTCCAGGATTGACAGGTTGCGAAACACCACCAGGTGGGCCAATGATGGTATCTAAAATATACATAAATGGGGTTCAGTATGTTTGATACAAAAATTCTATGTCCAACTCTTTACCGAACAATGCTTATATACTTATGTAAAACTACTATAAAATAAATTAAGTTTTGAAATAAATAATTTATATTTAAGTTTCTAAAAATTGTGTAGCTATGTAGTTTTGTTTTTAGTTTTTTTTTTTAGAAGCTTACTAAAACTAATTCATGATGAGTAACTTTCGAAACTATTTAATACAAACCTTGTTATCCCCCAAATAGAGAATCTTGAGGTTCGGTATACGCTTCTCCACGCCCTTGAACGCCTCCATGCTGGTCATGCTGTTGTCATTCAGATTAATGGCCTCCAGATCGGGTATATTCTCGCAGATAATATCGATGGCGGCGCTCATCACGTTTTGCCGGAAGAGCGGACAGAAGATCTGTTTGAGATCGGGATCGGCATGGAATCGGGAGAGATCCAGTGCCTTGGTCTGCGCGTTGAACCGCTTGGCCATGGTCACCTTCATCTTCTCCTTGAAGGCATCGTCGATGGCCACCAGTGGTATGCCGCTGCGCACGCGTGGCATCAGCCTGTATCCATCGGGCAGCTGGGCATGCCTGCCCAGTTGTTGGATGCGCTCGGCCACCTCGTAGTCGTCGGTGAAGAAAACAACGCAGTTCCTCTCCGCCCGCCAATATTGCGGTATGAAGACATGTGGCGACATCGCTGCCAATAGGGCCCGCAGCAGTGTTTCCTTTTCGTATATCTGTGCATTTTGCAGCTGCAAAAAGTAAAAAGAGAAGAAAAAAAAAAAGGGAAAAAGTGAAGGAAAAGGGGAGTCATTAGACGTCTGGCAATTAGCGTTATATAGAGCACCGATAGCAGCGGCTCAAATTATATCATCAGCCAGCTCATGACAAGACCCAGAATGGGCGCTGTTCTGTTTGCCAGCATTGCTCTACATTTCGTGTTGTTTTTTCTCTATGATCCATCGAAGGGGAGTGTTGGAAACAGAGATAGCTGTAATCATAGTCTAATCATAGAAAAGCACGTACAAGTCTGTACAAATATGAAGTGGTATATCAAACTTTCCCCAAATAACTCAGTAAAAATTTTCTGAACTTTTGTAAACCATATATTATGTTATTTAATGCTTTACCTTACTTCAATGATTGTTTTGTTTTTTTTTTTCAATTTAACCCAGAGATTAAGAATTTATAAGACAATTTTTTATCATACGATACTATATAGGCAATAATTTATCAGTAATTGGATATGGATAAAATTTTATTAACAAGTTAGGCAAGCAACAATTATTTATCGATCAAATTTTATTGGCAAGTAAGTCTTGCGTCTTTTCGATAACCATCTCGCATAATAATAAACCTCTTTGGAAAAACATGACTTTCATAACCAACGTCATTCGATAATTATGACCATCGTTAATTGGCACCTAATTTAAACTCAGGGATTCAGACCTCTAAGATTTATATCATACGATAGTATTTAGGCATTAATGTATGAATAATTGGCTATCGATAAATTTTTATTAACAAGAAAGGCTTGCGGTAATTTATCAATTTAATTATCTATCGATCAAATTTTATTGCCAAGTAAGTCTTGCGCCTTTTCGATAACCATTTGGAATAATAATAAACCTATTTGGAAAAACATGACTTTAATAACCAACGTCATTCGATAATTATGACCATCGTTAATTCGTTTTGTTCACTCGTCACATAGCACCTAATTACGATAGGAGAATTAGTGGAACGCTCGCCGATTTGCATGCCATTCATATCCGAGTCTGTGGAACTGGGACTCGTCGTCACCTAATTACACTTTCGGGCGAAGCAGTCTTATCACTCAAACTGTCAGTGATTTAATTACGAGCACTTATCCGGATATTGTGAGTGGTGCCAGGCAAACAACAAAGCAGAGCTGCTGGAACCAAAAACTCCCACTTCCACTTCCTTTGCCACTTTCGCCGCTCCCATTGCGAAGGTCAAACATCGGGGGAGCTGATACCAATATCGGTCACTTGGCTATTATTACTGGCCAATGATATCTAATCGGACTGCAGGCAGACGTACGTATGTACTATACTACATTCAGCATACCACATATAGCAGAGCAGTCTAGTGTATACAAAGAATCAGTGGAATCAGTGGTAATTCAATTTATGGAATCACTTCGGTTACAGTACAGTCGGGCACAAAGATGGGGGCCATATTCACCGACGCAGGCGAATAATGATCGTGTGAATGATCGCCGTGCTTACAGCTCCCATTCCCCTCCCTTCCCCTCCATTCACCACTCGACCCTATTCATATCATCGGTATCACAGGCAGATAAGTCTGCGAACAGCCGCACATCTAGCACACTCATTCATTGCGCATTAATGCGATAAATTTATTTATTACGCGCATTAGCTGTTATTATTATAATATATTTTTGTCTCCCTTGTCTTGTTTGGTTTTTGTTTTTTTTTCCCCCTTAACTATAGTCAATAGAACTTAAGCCCCCTTGATATCGTATTTAAAAAATGACAAATTGTAGTGTTTTATCAATTTACCACCACCATTTTACTCTACAACTTCTTCATCATATATTCCATAAATAAATGTAGTCTAGGGTTAACCATAATCTGTATACTTTTTCTGGTTTAGTCTGTTTTTCTGTCCAAAGCCCTAAATTAGAAGACCAAACTAATGGTTTCTTAATGACGCCATTTAATTAATTTCTTATTATTTTCACTATAAATACTGGAATAGATTGTTTGAATATTATGAACAATATCTAGTTATTTTTACGTGGCAATTCTAAAGCTTTCTAGGTATTTCCTCAAGTCAATACGTAGCTTAGTATATCTATAGGCAACAGAACAGTTCGTTTGGTAATATTGTTTTCAGTGGAATCTTGTTGAATTAATAGTTACTTAAACCTTTAATTGTACCTTAATATGATACAAAATCTGGCTTTATAGATGCGAATTTAAAATATTCGTAAGCCCTCAAACGAGATATTTTATTGGTCTAACAAGGTTTTTGATTGTATTGTATTAACAGGAACGTTTATATATAGCGCATTAGCACATTTATACTAATAATAGTCAATGGATTTATATTATATCCCTATTTTTTCAAATCTATTGGGAATGTTTGGCCATCCTTTGTGCCTTCGGAATGACTTCGGAATGCCTCCGAATCGACCTCAGACAACAATGGCAGCCCTGAAATCCAACACAACGCACCTGATCGATAGGCAAATGGAACCGTTTTGACGACGAGGTCAGGCTCGCTTTCAAAAATAAAGATGATGACTGTGTATTTGGGGGATCGGATTCGGATTCAGATTCGGATTCGGATTCGGATTCTCGGCAACTGACAATTCCGCCCGAAACTCGGAGAATTGTGTGTATGGCGGGTAGGTGGTGGGTGGTGGATGGTGGGTGGCAGGTGGAATGTGAGTGGTTTGTTTATATAGCTCACAGAATATAAACGAGAGTGATGAGTGTGTGTGGTGTATGGTGTGTGGTGTGCGGGGATATGTGTTGTAGGTACACTTTTATTTATTGTATTCACACACAATACAAAATACGAGCTCGCTGAGACATATTTCTAGAATTGATATGGAGCTATGACAACTCCGGCGTCGCAGTCGCAGCTGGCGGCGCAGCTTGAATTGTGCTGGGTTGGTTTGGTTTGGGTTGGGTTGGGCTGGGCTGGGCTGTTGGTTGGCTAACAAGTGAGCACCGGCGAACGGAGCGGCATTCGCTGACAGACGAGCGACGTTGAAGCAGCAACAAATAAGAGGTTCCTGCCTGTACAGTGATATATATATATATATATATATATATATACGTATTATATATAGGCACGAAGCATCCGAAAAAAGGAGGAATACCACCGTCCAAGTTAAAAACAAATAAATATTTCCAGAGGCAAACATTGAGCATGGGAGGCTGTTGCTCAAAGGATTTGGACGATAAGCGCTCCTGGAGTCCCGAGGAGACCAAAAATGGCGTAAGATCTGCACACAAACTGGACCCGTTTTAATGGCCGAAAAGAGAGTAATGTAATTAAATTGGCGATTTTTAGAGCACCACTTCGACCATCATTGCCCAGCCGCTGGATGAGGTGGGTAGCACCGGTGTCTTCACGTTAACCCGCACCACAACCAGCACCACGCGGCAGGAGAAGACGGTGACCACCACCAACGCCGAACAGGAGGATTAGATACCGTTCCACCATTATTTAATATATAAAATCTATTTTTTTTTAACACTTTTGTTGAAACGATTTCAATGCCATGTGTGTGAGTGAGAAGTGTGTGAATATGAATATATATATATATGTATATATATACAGCAATGTACATACGGACAATGTGAATATGAATATGAATCAAGTTAAGCTGTTAACGAGTAATTATTAATTGTTATGCGCCTGAATTCCAATTTCGTAATAAATTGTTGAATCGCTAAATATTGAAAACAGCTTCACAGTGCCGGCAACAAAACAAAAAAAAAAAAAAAAAAAAAACTGGGGTTCTCAAGCAAATCAAGTGCAGTCAATGTCATTATAAAGTGATGGTCGATGCAGAACATCATCTATTATTCTTTTCTACTGACTAATGTTTATTGAAATACATATAACCAGAGGAAACTTACAAACTGCATACATATAAAAAAAACCACAAGAAAAATGTACTTTAAGAACGAAGTTTCTTAGGTTTTTATTTTCTATTGACTTTTTTATTTTTTCTTTTCGTGAGCTGAGTGGATGTTTTGTGATTCATTAAATAAACTTTGCTAATTTCGTGTTAGTGTGAAATTTTGATAGTTTTGCTTTCGTTTTTAATTGTAATTGGATTTGTAATCGGAGTTCCTTATGTCTAATTTTTAATTTTTTTTATTAATAATATAGGCTAAATTTACATACAAAATTTATCAATTTAAAATTTTACAATTTTGGCCTTTATACAATTTTAATAGTTTTTGAATGAAATTGATTAGTTAGTTAAATAACGTAAACGATAAAAATTCTACACTGTTTGTGGTAAGCTAATATAGAATTCTAATAATGCTGTTAGGTTCAAATCCCACTGCTGGCCCACCAATTTTTTTTATATTTTCAACTTAAAACAAACCATTTAGAGTAATTATTGCGATATGTTGTTATTTACGATAATCTAAATCAAAATAATAATTAACTTGATATCATATCGTAATTTTATTAAATCTCGGTAAATATTGTATTGACTGACTAAAAGTAGTTATAAATAACAATTTTAAATAGGGGTTAAAAGGAGTTCTGAATAAATAACTTTATAGCGGCACTCGGGAATATTCACTTAACCAGTATCTACTGTACACATGTGGGATAACAGATTGGGGAGGTGAGACTTCGAGGCAGGGCGGAACCGGGGAATCTGCCAGTTCAATTGACGAGATAAGAGAAACGATCCAACGCATTACTGGCCGATGACATCAGGCGATGCACAACACACAACACACAACCCATAACACACACAACCCACAAGAGCAGTAAACGAAGCCACAAGTGGTGTGTTGGATTTGGGTATCGTCGGTTGTTTGGTTTTACCCCCCATAGTCTGGCCAATTCAGTGAGTCAGTGAGTTCTCTTTGGCCCACAACCATGGTTATCAGAGGTTCTGTTTTTGTTCTCGGCCAGAATGACTAACAGACTGGGCACGTGTTTGCCGTCAGCAAACCACTAATAAAAATAAAATAACAACGATCAGTCATTCCATCCATGCATGTCTTGGAATGTTTTCAGCCATTCCATTCCATTCCATTCACACGTACTCGTTGTTCTAATACAGCATAGTCTGCTCGATCCAAAAGTGGTCGCATGCCAGCTGTGAATCCATTAAGCAATAGCAAATGCAAATAACAATGGCAATTGCGATACTCAATTTGCAATTATCAATAGTTGGCCAGGTTGGCCAGGTCGTTACATGCCACTCGGCAATCTCGAGTTGTTCTGTTGTCACTCAAGAACGTTGTTGGGTGTATTTGTCAAATCGTTAAAATTGCGCTATTATGTATTAACATAATAGCGCAATTTAATAATAATAAAAAAAAAACAATATATTTGTTGACATTGATGCGGCGTGCAGTCCAACAATATAAAACCAAATGAAGCTTTGCTAAAACTCATGTGAAAAAGCTTTTTCTCAACGCCTGAAGGCAGACTAAATAAATGCTGCGAAAAGTAATTAAAGCAATTATCAATTTAAAATTCAGTATTTGTACTTTATGAGTTCGGAGGCAAATAATTGTAATTTTAGGTTTACAAATTTAAATCGACGAAATCTTCTAGAGATCAGACCTTGATTTTCCGGTGCAAATGGATTTCCTGATTCAGTAAATGACACTCAATAATTTTTATATTTTGTATTTTTTTTTTTTTTGATCAAATTTCAAATTTTCACACAAATTTAATCCGCCCTAATGTACATATATGTATATAACTACTGAGTAAATGTCTCTCTATATTTGATTGTTTTCAAAATGGTACAACGTTTTTTTATTACGCCTTATTAATTTACTTTCAACTTGTTTTTATAAATTTTTTGCTATTATCACGTTAATAAGTTTAATGACTTTATTTTCTTTAAAGATGTGTATAGATTTGATAATGAAAAAAATTTGGAGTTTTTTTTTAAACACTCTATATATTAATATACAAGCAATAGTATATTTGTATAGTACATTTTTTGGATTATGACATTTGCAACCTATCCATCTTCCTATGACTCCCAATGTGATTTTGGTATAAAACTAAAACAAGACAAAAACATGGGAGCTATAGCTAATATAAATAAGTTAAAAAGTCACTTAATTTACTGATTTACGCGGGGGCGTCTTTATATTAAGCAAATCGAATGGTTAACCCATATGCACGATTACAACGACTCGTTCAATTGGGTGTCTTGTTGGCCAGTGAGTGAGAGCGAATAACAATAGATAAGATTAGGCCAACATATGTATGTATATATATGCAGAAAATAGAAGACAGCGCGTAGCAGAAACTGCGCAGATAAATTGAATTGGAGGCGGACAAAAACGCAACACAAAATACAAAGCGAAATCAAACGAAGGCACAGGCAATGGCAATTAAAGACATATGTATGTACAAGACTGAACGAGGGGTCGATGTATGTGCCGTATATGCAGATAAAATAATTTAACCGACCCTACACTGACTTTTCAATCAAAAGCAAGCCCCAGTGTTGCGCCTTTTTTTTTCTTAAAATTTTCATTTCTAGCGAACAAAATTGTAGATACAATTTTAACCAACATGCCTGAAGACATCTATTGTTTAAGCAAATAATCTTAAGCAACACCATATAATATTTAACATTACAAGCTATTTATACCATTACACTATAAATGTGATTTAAAAAAAAACTCCTTTGAGATACGACTTTTTGCTTTTAAAATAAAATTTTCAATTTGTAAAGTTTAGATAAGAATTATAATTATTTATCAATTACAAAAGAAATATTATCCTAAAATCTTTGCGAAATATCTGTTTAAAAAACAAATGGTGTTTCAAACAGACTTTGTTTTTACATTTTTTCACAAATTTTTAAATATTTTATATCCGAACATTAAAGAACATTTTAAGAGATCTCTCGTAATTTTTAATACTTTATTTTTTGTTTAATGGTAAACTAATAATTAAACAGTAGTTATTCGATTTTTTGGAAAATTTATTTAAATTTAAAAATGTATATTTTAAATGCAATGTGTCTGTGAAATTTTTTATTTAAAATAAACCATATATTTTACGTTTCACCTAGAACTCTATTGTATTATAAGCTGTATTACTGTAATGGTTTAGAGTTCTTTAAAATTTAAATACCGAAATTTCAAAAACTTTAATATATGCAGCAAGTTTAAGTTCCAACTTGAGGTCAAGTTTCGATTTAAGACTGAGTATATATTTAACGTAGAAACAGGCCCTTAATTGCATAACTTTGGGTATGAGTTCTTTAAAATGTTTATGTAGAAATTTAAAAAAAGCGGCCAGAATTTACGAAAAAGAATGGCTCATCCGGCAGCACTGCCACACGGGGCGTTCGAACGAGCGATAGGGAACCGAGGGAGCGAGCGGGTTGGAGGGCAGATAGAAATTGGAGCGCACCCCGAGTCCAGGCCACGATCGACGGCAGACGACTGACGAGGCGGCAGTTCCAAAGCAAAGCTACTCGCAGTCGGTCGCACAACATGAATCTCATTCCGGGTAACGTCCTGTTCCTGGTGATCCTCGGCCTCGTTTGCCCGTCCCACACCCTGCCCATGACCCCCGAAAATGAGCTGAGGGAGGTGGACCATCAACTGGGTCACCAAGTGGGTTACCAAGTGGGTCACCAACAAACGCGCATGGCGAAGAGCAAGGCCGAGTCAGAATTCGTGGGTAGAATTGCGCCCAATGGTGAGCACAGTGTCGAGGAGGATCCGGAACACGCTATCGCACTCTTGGAGGAGCTGGAGGAGGCCGGAGTGAAGTCAACCGATGACCGACCGTTGCACATACTCAGCTACAACGAACTACTCAGACTACTGGCCCTCTGGCATCTGAACCAGAATCGCAACGTCTACGAGGCCAACGGACCGGACAAGCAGCCCGATCAAGCCATCGATGCTCATTCAGTTTAATCGCTTAATGCGTTAGCATAGAAGCCCCTTTTATTAAAGCCAAAGTTCGGTTAATAAAATGTGACAAGAGAAAAAGGCTAGTACTCTTTGGCAGGATAAGATTGGATTACCCTCGCAGACGGCATCTATATAATATTCTGATATGATTTGTTCAATTTGATGCACTTTCACATATTAAAAACCATTTTTTTTTTGTTTTTGTATGACAATTAGTTTGTAAAACATCTGCAATGATAATATGCTGCTATTAAACTTAACCATTTATAAAAAAAAAAAAAAAAAAACAGCCAATTTTGTTCCTATTTGATTTGTGATTTGATGTGGTTTCCCAATATAAAACTAACTCTGCAGCTAAATGTTTGCTGAGCTACGCCACAGCCTTGTGTTTCTCCCACTCGATCTCGTCCAGACGCGTCGGCGGCGGTGCTGTCTCCACCGTCTCCGCCGGGATGCCTCCAATCTCCGAGCTGGTGCCGGTGACCACCAGCAGTGGCATCTGTCGCCGTTGCAATCGTTTGGCCAGCGGCGGCACGAAGAGATCGTGCTTAATAAGCTTACACTCCGCATCCTGGTAGATGCGATGATTGTTATCCCATTTAAGGAGCTCAAACAGCCAGGACAACAGCCATCCGCCGAAGAAGGCAACCAGAAAGCCCAGGGCAGCGTACCACATGTAGCTGATCCTGTACAGGTAAAAGTAATGATCATCTCCAGTCTCAGGCTTCTCGGCATTCGCAGCTTTTAAGAAAATATCCCCGGTATAGCTTCTATTCACGGGACAGTGGGCCGTGGACATATCCAAGCTGACCAGCGGTGGTTTTGGCTGCCCGAAACCGATCCACAGGCAGAATGCCAGCGAGATGAGCAACCCTCCGATGGCTCCCTTTTCGTTGGCCCTGGTCACGTACATGCCCAGCGTGAAGAGTCCCAGCAACGGACCGCCGATGATGCCGAAGATTGAGAGTGCCGCCTGCAGAAGTCCTCCAATGGATCCCGCCATGAAGGCCATACCGATGCACAGGGCTCCAAAGAATAGCGACAGCAACTTGGAGTACCACAGCGTCTGGCGATCGGTGAGCGTGCGTTTGGCGCAGCAGCTAACCAGCGGCTTGAGGTAATCCTCCAGCGTGACGGCCGCCAGTGAGCTGATTATCGAACTAATCGTGGAGAGACTGGCGCAAAAGATCCCCGACACAAAGAGTCCGGCGAGGCCGGTGTACTGCGACATTGTGTCCACGACGAAGAGCGGCATCACCTGGTCGCGTGAGTTGACCCGTCCCTCCAGAACCGGATCGCAGTCGCGGTAGTACCAGTAGATGCACAGTCCCGAGAAGCAAGTGCTCACGCTCAGCAGGCACAGGATGGGCAGGCACCACCACAGGGCTGCCCGAGCGGCACTCAAACTTCGCACCGACATCAGGCGCTGAACCTGCGCTTGGTTCACCCCATAGATGGCCAGGTAGGTGGCACTGCCGCCCAGGATCTGGGTGAACCACGTGTGTCGCTCCGTGGGATCCACACTGAAGTTACTGAAATCGATGCGGCCGTTCTCCTGTGCCACACGCCATATCTCCTCCAAGCTGCCGGCCTTCACCCAGGCGCAAATGATCACGCAGAATACGGAGGCGAACATGAGTAGCGACTGATAGATATCCGTGATGAGTACGGCCTTCATTCCGCCAAGCGTGGCATAGAAGGTGCACACGACGCCAACGATTACGATGGAGAAGACCTGATTCAGTCCGGTCACAGCCTCCAGGGCCAAGGCCGGGGCGTACACCACAATGCCCATGTAGAGGACCATCTGCAGCGTGAAACTGAGCGAGGCGGCCAGTCGGGTGGCATAGCCGAAGCGTAGCTCCAGATACTCGTATACGCTGGCCGCCTTCAGGCGATAGAAGACCGGAATGATGAGATAGGCGGCCACCGGCGTGGACAACACATACGACAGGTTGATCACCACGAACATGGTGCCGTACTGATAGTTCTCCATGGATACGCCCAGTATGGTAATGGCCGACATGAAGCTGGCCATCAGGCTGAAGGCCACCGGAGTTACGCCCATGGAGCGATCCGCCAGAAGGTATTCGGTGGTGGTGCTCTGCCTGCCGCCCACGAAGCGATAATAGATGCCAATGGCCACGGAGATGACCAGCACCACCGCCAGGATGGTGTAGTCCCAGGCGCCCAAGGTGGCCATTGCGAATGGCAGGTGGTGGTTACAGGTGCTAAGTTAGTTTCGCCGGCAATCCCTTATCGCACATCTAATCGCTCCGGCTGAGACTGATAATAACTTGGCCTAATCGGGCCCTCTTGAGATTCAGCGAATGTGCTGCTTTTGGGCGGTCGGAACACACACGTCTTCACCGTCTGCCGGCCGTCGATGAATTAAAGGCCGAAATGAAACCACACAAGCTCTGTGTTTTGGTGAGCCATCGCCATCGCCATCATTGGGCATTTACGGCGTTTATGACCCCGTCGAGAGATAGCGGCCCGTTGTGTTGCACCACGTGTGGCTGGTAAGCGGGATGGTGACAAGGCAATGAAGGACAACACAACCGCAGGCCGACCAAAAGCCCTTGGAATCCATTTCAGGCTGGATCATCCCACTAAGGGCTCGGCTCCGGTGCACTTTCAGCCCATCGGTACACACACTTGTGGCTGGCACTGTTTTAGGCCGACAGAGTTTAGCCATCTATAAATATTTATTTGCCCGCTCGTTGCCCGCTTGCAATTGTAATTGTTGTAGCGATTGTCGTTGGCTGTGTATCGAGAGCTAGCTTCCCCCTCTATTGCTTGTTTGCTTTACGATTTTTACGAGTGAAATTAATTAATAAACACAACGGCGAGGCCAAACGGGAAGTCAATGGAGCAATGGAACACATTTTGTGTTTACAAGAGAGTTGCAACCTATGCGATTTTTTTAGCTGATGCTATAAAATAAATAACAGACGACTAGCAAATCACATGATTTTCTTGGTGACCAAAAATAGTTTTATGTCTGCTATCATTAATTTGGTATCTATATGGACCAGTCTGCTGATTGTAGTTGTAAGGCTAAACTAAAACCTTTTTTGTTTTTGTAAAAATTACTCAACTCGGCTCAAATAATCGCGAGAATCACATGACTTTCTAAGAGGTTATAGTTATGGTTATAGGGCTAGTATCATAAATACATATGTTATGATATAGCATCATCCATATGGACCACTCTGGGGATTTAATTTAAGTTCTAAGGCTAAACTAAAACGTTTTGTTTTTGCAAGAATCAACCCTGGGGGTTTTAAATAACTCAATAAATCAGGCGATTCTTTTGGGCCAGAATTAGTTCTTTGCCTACTATCATATATATGGTATGGTATAGTTTTATGGTATCTATATGAATCAGCCTTTATGGCATAGTAAGTGAACTCACCGTGACTTGGTACCAGCCAAAGGCGTTGGGCATCAGCTTGCCGAACTTGCCGCGCGGAATTGGGGATCCTCGTCTGCGGGAGCTGGGTCGATCCTGCTGCAATTCAACGAACGACAAGGTTAGGAGTTTTTGTTGGTGAGAGTACAAAAGATTAGGAAAAGATATACACCTTGACGGTTGTGGTCATGTCGCTCATATCGTCATCCTCGTCCCAGCGCCGCAAATCCTCGGGACGCAGCTTGATATCCTTCTTGTTGTGTGGAAACTGGGAAGGCTTGAAGCTGACGCGTCGTTTGTTTCGATCCTTGCGCCGCTGGCGGTCCTCCACTTCTGTTGGGCATATAAGATGGTTAAAATATGTGTACCACAAATGGTTATTGTCTACTGACCATCATAATCCTCAAGAGCGCAGAAACGGCCGCCGCCACCGCCGCCATTGCCGACGTTGTTGTTGTACCGCTGGCCACCGCCGCCGCCGCCGCCACCACCTCCTCCTCCGCCTCCACGCTTAGGCATCCTGATCCGGCGGTTTTTACTCCGAAATTAAGAAAAATGCTTTCTTTAGCACGCGCACACACACGTTTTTCGCTGTTTTGTTGTTGCAAAATCTTTATATTTTTGCGCAATTTTTGCAGCCCGCACAAAGTGCCGTCAACTCGTTAAGCAGCTTGTGGTCCTTTCACTAAAGTCCTTGCACCAAAAACTTTATTGCTATATGGGATTTACGAATTTTAGCAGCCCATAGACAACGCAATTTTATGAAATTATCTTTTTGGCAGCTAGTGACGAGCGATCTGGGTGCGATAGACAATGCCGATGTTTTGCAGGGTCGGCGTAATATTTACTGACTTCTAATATTTTCTTCGATAAAAAATATATATTTGTGACAGCAAAGAAAGAGGAAAGAAAAAAAACAGGTAAATCTTTGTTTGGAGGATTTAATGCCCTTGTGTTGTTTTTCCTTCGGCTTCTCAGTCTTATTTATCGATAATGGCGGTTCAGCTATCGATAAGGTCGTGTTTAGTGATGGCATTCTAGCTTTTTTTGTCTCTCACGTTGTTTAAAGCGGGACTCAAAATATACTTCAATTATTACGTATTTTGAAAACAAAAAAATTATATGGATAGTTTTTATCAGTCTCAAGTGAATAAGGAAATCTACTTTAACGTTTAACTTTAATTTATGGCGGTACCCATATTAATGTTTTTCAAAACTATATTAACTTTTTAACATAACATTTTTTAATTGTATTTTTTTTGTCACTCTAGCTGTTGAAATAAAACCTTAATTTTCCTAATGTGACAATGCTTTATTTAAATTTTTTAATGGATATATGAGATGGTATTGAAATTGATTTAAGTCCTAGATAAAATGATGAAATTTTAAAAAACTGATATTCAAAAAACTTTTATTGAGCACTAAGTGCTAAAAATTCGAATGTTGTTGAATATTTTTATTACCACTTTATCAAGTTGGTAATCGATAGTTGGCAGCACGAAAGGTAATTTATGGAAATCGAAGTCGAGTCGGGTTTCATTATCAGCAATATGTCGGAGCGAAAGAGTCCGTTGAAGGTAATACCGGCCGATTCGGAGGATCAACTGGTGCAGGTGCTAGCCGATCTTCTGAAGCGCTGCTCTCAGGAGGCGTTGGACAGGCAGGACAAGTTTAGCGTAGGACTTTCAGGTGAGGATCGGGGTCAGACAAGTCAAGTGCTTGTGTGCTGATAAGCCCAACTTGAAGTGACCTTGCCAGGTGCGATCTGTGAAATTTCACTGCCAAAGTCAAGTGTCTAATTCCACATGCAGGAGGTTCCCTTATCCAGCTGCTGACAAAAGCCCTGAAGCTTGGAGACTTAAACACCGCCAAGTGGTTGTTCTTCTTCTGCGACGAGCGGTATGTGCCCCTGGATGATGGTGATTCCACGTACGGTGCCTACAAGGCCGAGTGGCTGACCCATTTGCCGGGCATTCGGGACTCGCAGTTCATCCGGGCCGATGTCACCAAGTCGCTGGACGACTGTGCCGCGGACTACGAGGCAAAGGTTAAGGGTCAAGTGGGCTGCGGATGCCTGCCGCAGTTCGACCTCCTGCTCCTCGGTATGGGACCCGACGGGCACACCTGCTCCTTGTTTCCCGAGCAGCCAGCCACTCTCCAGGAGTCACAGCGCCTGGTCATCCCCATCCGAAACTCGCCCAAGCCGCCGCCCGAGCGGATCACCTTCACCCTGCCGCTAATCAATAACGCCCGGGATGTCACCTTTGTGGTTACGGGCGCTGGGAAAGCCGGCGTCGTTAAGGTAAGAAAATACAATTTTTATTATCTTCGTTAAAATAGCCGTATTTTCTTGTTTTACTTTCATTTCAGCGCGTATTTGTTGATCTGGACAAGGAGTTTCCCGCCGCCTGGGTAAATCCAACACAAGGACAGTTGACGTTGATTGTAGACGCGGGAGCTGGAAAAGAAATTGCAGCCGTATAAATGATATATAATAATGATGAATAATACAATTTTTGATACAGTTGTAGTGATTTTAATGGCGGGTACAATACATTAATTAGCTCTAAGCTATATTAAATACTATTCAATTTTTATGGGCAACGGTAGTGTTTATATTGAATTAAAAATTTGTTTTTAACGGTTTCGGTATTAAATTGTTAACAAAAATAAATTAAAAATTGAAAACATTTTTCTGTGTTTTTTCTTTGTTTTTAATTGTTTTAAATAATAGCAAAAAGAAACTATAAATAAACTTATTACAATTAACAAATGCAACAAAAGAAAGTATACAAAATTATTTGATTGTGATTTAAAGTGCAAACTCAAGCCAGATTTGGCTTCAAATTATCGGCGACACGCGGCTTATCGATATTTAGTGGGCCCGTACTCGGTAATCCAGAAAACGGTATCCAGTATGACCGGATCTGGGGTCACAACAAACGCCTCTTCTTGTATTGGTAAAAAAAAAAGAAAATTAAGGAAATGCAGCAGCAGCAGCAGCAGTTGCGCTAATTAGTGACGCCCCACATGCGATAGCAAGGACCTAACAGGACACGAAACAGCCATGGCAACGGAAGAGCCGCACCTGCAACCGCAGCAGGAGGAGCCGGGCAGTCGGAGTCAGGAGGAGTCGCAAAGTCAGCCGGCGGGGAGTAAATATTTGGCCCTGCATACCATGGACGCGGAGCGCGTCTGCCGCGTTTGCCTACGGGACGCATCGCTGGACGGCGAGGAGCTGCACTTCATCTTCGAGGACGCGCCCGTCGAGGAGGGCGCCAATCTGGCCCGCATCCTGGACGAGTGCACGCTGCACCAGTGCCAGCGGCACGACGGGATGCCACCGCACATGTGCGGCTCCTGCGTGGAGGCGGCACGCCATGCCTACCGCTTCAAGCGGCACGCAGAGCGCTCATACTGCTCGCTGGTGGCCCTGCTGGGCCGCTCGCCCCAGCTGAAGACGCGCGGTGCCGAGGCGGCCAGCCAGACGGATCAGGTGGCCCTGCTGCCCTGCGAGATGTGCCACGACCAGTTTCTCAACAGTCTGGAACTGCGCCTGCACCGCAACCAGGTGCATAGGACGACCAAGGAGGGCACTGGCTCGGCCACCGGCGGCACCAGCACGGAGGGCACTCAGGTCGAGGAATTCAAGTGCAAGTTTTGCCCGCAGCATTTCCCGCATCTCCGGCAGCTGCGCAGCCATTTGGCGCGGAGTCACGAGCAGACCGCTCGCCTTCAGTGCGCCCATTGCCAGCGCACCTTCAGCCGTCGGGATCATTTGCTGCGCCACATGCGAAATCAGCACCGGGACGTGGAGGAGGATCTGCTGCGCACGTGGCCGGCGGCGGATGACAATACCATGCAGAGCGATGGCGGGGATGAGCTCGTCTCCGCCGAAGTGCTGCTCAACGAGGAGGACGACGAGCAGGACGGACTTGATGCCTTCAAGTGCAATACGAATCCCATTTCCAGCAACGAAGACGAGGACGAAGAGGGCAACGTGGCCAATCAAACGCTGTGGCTGCACATCAAGCCAGAGCCCTGCCTGGAGGCGGAGGAAGTTGACCTGGCCATGCAACTGAAGCTCGAGAAGAAGCGTCGGCGGCGGGAAAAGGCGGAAGCTCCAGCCGACGGCTCCATTGATCGGACTGTGAAAAGTGAGTTTCCCACTGTTCTAAACTGGTTTCCGTTTAATTCTTTGCACATCTTTCAGATGAGCCCATTGCCATCAGCGACACCCAGTTCAGCATTAAGGAGGAGAGCCATCTTGTGGGCAGCGAGGACGAGGCAATGGCAATGGAAGAATTCATGAAGCTGCATGTGGGCGAAGAACTGCCGCTCAGCGAGGGTGAGTTCGTCGACGATGAAAGCGACCTTGATGACGATGAGGACAACGACGAGGACGGAGAGGACGACGACGATGGAGAGTTTCGGCTTAAAGAGGAGCCGCTGGACGGCGAGAAGCCGCTGAAGAAGTCCAAATCCGGCAGGCGTCGACGACGCAACAAGCAGAGCGAGCCCAATCCCGAGAACCGTTGTGAAGTGTGCCAACGCACCTTTTCGCGTCACTGCCACCTGCTGCGCCACAAGCTGTCGCACCTGGAGAAGAAGCCCCACAACTGTCCGCACTGTCCCAAAGCGTTTGCGCGCAGCGACCACCTCAAGGCGCATGTGCAGAGCCTGCACAGCAACAAGGAGCACAAGTGCGAACTCTGCGAGGCCGCCTTCTCGCGTCTGGACTCCTTGGAGCGCCACAAGGTTAGCAAGCACAATGGCGAGGGCCTGGAGCCGGGCAGCGAGCTGAAGCTGCAGCTGGCGGAGCACACGTGCGAGTACTGCTCCAAGCGCTTCTCCAGCAAGACCTACCTGCGCAAGCACACCCTGCTGCACACCGACTTCCTGTACGCCTGCAAGACCTGCGAGGAGACATTCCGCGAGCGAGCGCAGCTGAGGGAGCACGAAAAGACCCACACCGGGCAGCGGAACTTCCTCTGCTGCATTTGCGGCGACAGTTTCGCCCGCAACGACTACCTCCGCGTGCACATGCGGCGCCACAACGGCGAGAAGCCCTACAAGTGCCGCTACTGTGTCAAGGCCTTCCCCCGCGCCACCGATCTCAAGGTCCACGAGCGGTAAGTGATGCCCAAATATATAGTTTTAGATTTGGTTTTGCTTGAGAAGATTAGAATATAAGTCTCAAACTGCAGAAGCTAAAAGAGGCTTCCAAAATGTGTATTTAGATTATTCAATCTTAATAAATAAAATATTTTTTAGATGTATTTGATTTTCAAGAGTAATCAACAAATATGTATGAGTTCAATAAGCTTATAGGCTTCAATTTCAAGAGTAGTACATGCTTAGATTATCAATTCTATATTATTTTTTGTAAGGAAACAAACAAATTCAATATGCGATTTATTCATTGCCTTTTTGTTTACTTTTATTTAGCTATTATTTATCAATTATAACAATTCATCTAAATAATTGTATATACTGTGACGGAATCAAACATATTTTACTATGTTTCCTAACCGATATCCCTTAATTGCAGGTACCACACGGGCACCAAGCCGAATCTGTGCAATACCTGTGGCAAGAGCTTCCATCGGGCCTACAACCTGACCATTCACATGCGGACGCACACCGGCGAACGGCCGTACAAGTGCGACCAGTGCCCCAAGAGTTTCACGCAGAGCAACGACCTCAAGGCGCACATCCGGCGGCATACGGGCGAGCGGTACAAGTGTCCGCACTGCGACGCCTACTTCCTGCAGCTGTACAATATGCGCAACCACTGCTTGAGCGTCCACAACAAGCACATCGAGACGAAGACGGGGCGCCTTCAGCGTACGGGCTTGCTGGACGACGGCGGACAGTCGCATCTGACCACCGTTGTGATGCCGCCGGCGCGCTACCAACCCGGCATGGATCCCCTGATGGCGGCGGCTGCTGCTGCCGGCGGAGCCGAAAGCTCATCGTCGACCACCGTCATTCACTCACCAGGGACATACAATGCCACATCCTCCGGCCTGGCTCCGGAGTCAGCGTCCGCCGCTCCAGCCACCACTCTGGATGGCGCCAGCTTCGCTCCGACGGCGGTGAATGCAGTGAATACGGCGGCTCCTTTTGGCGGCTTCAATTTTCCGCCAGTCGTCATGGGTAAGCATTGCTCCAAAGGCAACCATAAATGTTATGATTTCAACAATTGAAATACTTGTTAACGAGGAAATGGACAAATGGAAGAACATGGCTATATATAAATATGCTCTACAGGGTCGGAATGTTGAAAGGGATTTTCGATAGGGAAAAATATGACAGTACAGGAAATTACAATTAAACTTATCCTTTGCCTTCGCTCTTTTCTCTTCAATGTACAACTTGCATTCTTAGTTTTTGTTTGTATAAAATGTTTTCAATTGCCACAAAATCAGGGTATTATATTTGTTTTAACTATACGTTGAAGATAAGTATTCCAAATGTAATGCATTAGTCCTGCTTACAATCTAAAATGCTTTCGAAGTAGACGCAAATAACTATGCTTTTCCTTCTTAGGTTTATTTTATTATTATTAAACATAAAAACACTAAATAGTTTTATTTTAAATTGACATTACATGACATTTAAACTTAATTAAACAAATACCACACAAAACACAAAAACGAGGAATGAAATGAATGGCTTAAGAAAACCAAGCCTGTTTTAGTGCTAGCCACTTTCAAAATAGTTTAGTTTTATTATGAATGTGGATTATTTTGATTTATTTTAATTGATAATTTTTTTTTTTTTAACATTTAAATAATAGTAAAATGTAATGCCAAGGCTGTTCCTTAATATTATATCAATATGGGAATAATATTTTAAATATATTGAGAATATCGCCCTCCTTGTCTAAACCATCTCCGTCTCTTTCGGTTTTAGCGCATCTCATGTACAACCATGGAGGAAGTAGTCAGCACAGCCAGAGCGGCAGCGACACGGGCAAATAGCCATCGCCTGGACCAAATACTATGCTGCACTGCGTCCTCTTGCTCCCGAGGACCCTGCATCCCGGACACCTCAACCCGAACACACACAACACACAATACACAACACACAACTATTCCAGTGTAGTCTTAAGCTTTCCTCTGTACATAGCCGTCGGAATGGAGAGGAGCAGGAATGTGGCCAATTGGAGGGTACATCACAAGCGCCGGCATCACCACGAATGCCGGTCATTTTAATGTGTTAATATGTATGTAATAGTCGAATAAGAACTGCTTACATGTAAATGCGCAGTGTAGGCGGTTGGAAGGAAGGTTTTTATAAAGCTTACATCAGTGCGCATGTATATTTAAATAAAAATCGCTCCCATCCCACTAACATGATTAATTGATCGAGTAAATAAATCCTGAACGCATAGTGAAACATGTATATCGTTATTTTGTTGTTTTTCTTAATTGCTAATGGAAATTTGTAGTTAAATTTAGAATTTATAGTAGGGGATATTATGAAAAAGTTTATTGGAAAATTGGTTAATTGTTCAAA